CAATCCTCATTTTGAACTGAGAGCCCGTATATGGTTGAGTGTTTCTTATCTTCTTGTACTATCCAGGTGTTCTGGTTATTCAGAACAACCTTTTCTCTTACCTGTCCTGATCAGCAGCAGACTGGGTTTGACAGTCCAGCCTACCCCTACCACTTGGCTGGAAAAGGAATCTCCCAGCTGTCACCGTCCTTATAAAATGAATATACTATAAAATGAATAGACTGCTTTAAAATAAAAAAAGCCCTCTTACAAAAATTTTTGTGACGTAACAAAAAATGGAATACTTGAAATGATCGAATTTTCATTTGACAATTTTTTCTTGTTGCATGGCAGCAATTAGATAGCTACACCCTGACCTCCGTATGGGCAGACTCGCCAGCTTCCTGCCTTAAATAGATGCTGTTATGCTTATGAATTGATGAAGAGAGTTACAGCTCAGCAGTGTTATACAACACCTATTCTGAAGGTCCACAAAAAGCATGGTCTGAGTGCAGCAGACTAAAATAGGCCATAAAGAGCGTCTGTCTTCAAAGCACCTTACTCAGAAGTAAAACTGCTGTTTGGAGGAGGCAGGCTGCATTTCTCCTGCGGAGCAGAGCACGCCCCGCTGCGTCATGCTGCAGACAAGTGACAAAACCAGTACTGACCACACCTCACCAAGGAAACAAAAAATCAAGCTTTAGCAGATAAACAGTTTACGGAACTGAAATTTCCTCAAAAATGTGACCTGAAGATGAGATGCTACACAACCAACAGAGAAAAGGTGGTAGGATTCAGTGCCTGAAGCTGATGGAGCACAACACTCCTCTAGCAAAAGAGCTGTCAGTCCCATGGTACATAAGGCGTCTTACAACATCAGGTTTTTAATCAGGTGGTTTTTAATCCCCCAGGTAGAGAAAGCCAAGAAGTGATTATAAGAGTATGAATGTCACCCCTGTGCAGACACTCCGAGAGGCAACTTAAGGGCAACAATTATTTTGTGACAACACTCATGTACATATATTTTATCACTTGTGCTTCAGGAAAATTACTCTCTGAAAATAACTACGAGCAATGAAAGAGGGAAAGTAAATGTGTGTGCGGCTAAAAGCATTTTGCTTTGTTTTATAATGCATCCACCCAGTTCATCTGTGAGCTTTTAAGGCCATCCAGTTTTACAGTTCAGGAAATTGGACCATAACCTCAAATTAAAGAAAAATCATTTTATGATTATCAAAGGATCACTTAAACCACAAGAAAAGCAAATGACCTGAGGCAGAATTTAGGAGCCAGGGAATTTGAAAAAAATCGGCTATCTACAGTAATTTTCTGTTTGTTTGCGACTGAGGGAACGAGATGGGTGGTCTCCACTGAAACATGACTGAACTTTAGCAAGTTTTTTAAACTAGCTGTTAGCTTCATACCCCTTAACTGGCTAGGCAGAGACAGAACATGAAAGGTTTCTGACAATGAAGCCAAGCAATCTAGCTCTAATAAGGCTGTAAAAGAGGCCAGTTACCCAAATCAGAAATTAACCCAGAAAAATAGCAGGGAGCTCTGAGCTAGGCAGGGCATAGCTAAAGCTAAAGGTGCTGGAAAGAAAAGGCATCCGGACTGGCACACGACCTGCAAGAGTCTCTGCTCCTGACGCATATACGGAGCCAGAGAGGCAGACGATGGAAGCAAAGGAAGCACCCCTGAGGAAGGGAGACAGAAAGCGATCTTATAAAACTCTTTAAAAATAACTTGTGTCTAACTATGTAACAGAAGTTTCAAAAATGCGTTTTTCTTTTCATTTTGAGAACTTGGGAAAAGGGGTAAACTGACTTGTAAAACAAGGGAAACTGCCAGTAACGTAATACTTAAGACAAACAGATTAATTCACCCCTAATACCATGAGAAACGGCTTGCAAAGGAGACCATCAAAAATGCACGGCTAGCCAGGGCTGGCCATCACCCACTTCACGTAAAGCCCTTTTACAGCCTGGGAAGTTGGGGAAAAAGGAAGGGAAGGAGAACAGTAGTAGAAAAGAAAAGGAAGAATATAGCAGGCCAGAAGATAAAGCTAAAAGATAGGAGAATTATTTCCATGTCTTTCACAAAGATCTAGGCTATTAATGCAGAGTTCAGCTAATGAACTTATATTAATATGTGAGAAATATGCAGCATGGGACAGCTCAAAAACTACATTATTTGCATTTCAAAAGGTTAGGCAGGAGGGGACTGTAAGCCGAACCATTTCAGTGAGCTCAAACGGTGACAGCGGCAAAAAAAAAAAAAGCAGCTCTCAGTAAGAAAGACAGGGCTGATTGCTTTGGATTTTATTGTTATTACTTGTAACTGCAACTGTTTGGTGAGTGCTAGGAATGTTATCTTTAAACTAATCCCTAAGCACATGATTTATTAGGAATAAACTGATCAAGTCTTTAAGGGTAGATGCTTTAACTTGTAGCTACATTCTGCAAATACAAAATAGAAAGTGATTGAAACTTAAATCTTAAATCAAAAAAAAAAGCTCTCAGGGATTCCAAGAATGAACACCGTTCAGTTAATTTATCAGGCAGCTACAACCACAACAGAAAAACTCCCCCAAAAAACTACGGGTGGGGCAGAAACAGATGCAAAAGAAGAACTAGTGCTTCCAATAAACAGAGTACAATGTAAATACTTTAAGAGACTGGGAAAGCAGAAAACCAGAGTGCTGGAGGAAGTCACAATGCATGCTGCAAAGTGCCCTAGCTTTCCAGCAGGAGCATCTGAAGCTGCATGCTTTTTATTAAATAAACAAAGATCCCCCATAAGCTTTAGCGATCAGGGCACTCCAGACATCTTTGTAGCGTCCTAGGGAGATGGGGACCCCCAGAACTAACTCACAGTGCTAAGGTTTTACAGTCGTACAGAGGCCTGGGCACAAATGCAGAAGACCATCTCGCACAGAGAGCTGCAGAACAGG